AGCCTCTGCAGCTGCCTCTGGGGCTTCCTTCCTGTGTCTCAAATGCCCTCTCCTTTCTCGAATAAGGGTCCCTGTCATTGAATGTGGGGCCCCCAACGGAATCCAGGATGACCTCACCTTAACTTAATTACATCTGCAAAGTCCCCTTTTCCAAATAAGGTCACACTTGGAGGTTCTGGCAGGGGCGAGGGTGTGGACACACCTTTCAGGGACCACTGTCCAACCCCCCACAGGCCCTTTCAGTCCAGCCAGCCTTCGGGGCCTGGAGCCCGGTCCTCCTGGGGTGCTGTGTTTCAGGCCCGGGAATCTCCTCCTACACCTCCAACCCGTCACAGGCTGGCGAGAGCCTGCGGGGCTGCCTGGAGGAGGCGCTGGCCATGATCCCAGAGGCCCAGCATCAGCACACGCCCTTGTTCCTGGGGGCCACGGCTGGCATGAGGCTGCTCAGGTGAGGTGGGCAGTGTGGAGCGGCTGTGAGCGCTGTGGTCTCAACGCCCCGGGGTGGGTGTGGATGGGTGGGCGTGGGCTGCCGGCCAGCTTCGCCCCCCACCCTCCCTCCGCCTCTCTGCGCAGCCAAAAGAACAGCTCCCAGGCCGAGGAGATCTTTGCAGCCATCACCCAGGTCCTGGGCCGGGCCCCCGTGGACTTCCGGGGCGCCGAGCTCCTGGCTGGTCAGGATGAAGGTGCCCTAGGTTGGATCACCATTAACTACGTCCTGGGCTTGCTGGTCAAGGTGAATGGGCAGCCCCAGGGTGGGGGGTGAGGGCTGGAGGAGCCGGGCTGAGTCCTCCTGGTCAGTCCCGGAACCCGGTGCCCCTCTGTGCTCAGTACTCCTTCTCTGGAGAGTGGATCCGGCCTTCCGAGGGGACACTGGTGGGCGCCCTGGACATGGGTGGGGCCTCCACCCAGATCACCTTCGTGCCCGGAGGCCCCATTCTGGACGAGAGCACCCAGGCCACCTTCCTCCTCTACGGCTTCAAGCACAGCGTCTACACCCACAGCTACCTCTGCTTCGGGCGCGACCAGATTCTGAACAGGCTGCTGGCTGGGCTGGTGCAGGTGGGCTCCCCGGGGGAGGAGGCTTGCTGGGTGCCCTGCCCCAGGCAGGTGCTCACGGCTGCCTCCCACCCTCCCTGCAGAGCAGCCCGGGCCAGCGCATCCGCCACCCCTGCTACCACAGTGGCTACCAGGACACACTGTCCCTGGCCCCCGTGTACGAGTCGCCCTGTGTCCAAGCTGCATATCCCCCCGGCTTCCCCCAGAACCTGACTGTGGAAGGGACGGGGAACCCTGGGGCCTGCGTCTCGGCCATCCGGGGCCTCTTCAACTTCTCCAGCTGCAAGGGCCAAAAAGACTGTGCCTTCAACGGGGTCTACCAGCCCCCCCTGCAGGGCCCATTCTATGTGAGCACTAGGGCCCCAGTCCCCTTCTGAGCCCCAGGGGCCTGACACCAGGTGGGCCCAGACCGAGCCCTGGGCGGGTGGGACAGGTGGCCTCCTGGAGACTCTGCACCCCGGGGTGGGATAGGACGGGGACCTGGCCTGCCTGGGCACCGCTCCTTCACAGACATACCCGTCTCCCCCGCCTCCCCTTCAGGCCTTCTCCAACTTCTACTACACCTTCCACTTCCTGAACCTCACCTCCGGGCAGCCACTGGCCACGGTCAACGCCACTGTCTGGGAATTCTGCCAAAAGCCCTGGAAGCTGGTGGGTGGGTCCCAGGGCCACAGCTTCCCTGAGCAGGGACTCGGGGACCCCACTGGGCCAGTGTGGCAGTGGGTGTGGGGGAGCCGTGGAAGGGAGGACAGCCCCCTGGCCGCACGTGGGACCAGCCCCCAGCAGCATAGGATGTGTGTGGCCTCACCTGGTCCCTCCCCTTCCCCTGCCCAGGTGGAGGCGACGTGGCCGGGGCAGAAGCGTTGGCTACGTAACTATTGTGCCTCCGGCCTGTACATCCTCACGCTCCTGCTCGAGGGCTATGGCTTCAGCGAGGAGACCTGGCCCAGCATCAAGTTCCGCAAGCAGGTGGCTGGCCCCAGACCCGGGGAGGGCGGGCAGGAGCCCGGGGGTGGCGGCCGCAGCCCTGACCGCGTGTGTGCCCTGCAGGCTGGAGGCGCCGACATTGGCTGGACGCTGGGCTACATGCTGAACCTGACCAACATGATCCCGGCCGAGGCGCCCGCCCAGTGGTGGGCAGAGAGCTATGGAGTCTGGGTGGCCAGTGTCGTCTTTGTGGTGCTGACCCTTGTGGCCATTCTCACGGCAGCTGCAGCCCAGCTCCTCTGGCCCCGGGACTGAGTGGGCAGCCTTCTGGCGCAGGGGAGGCCCGGCTTCCGCAGCCCAGGGGCCACCCCAGCCCGGACGCCTGAGCTGGCTGGAGCCGGCCGAGCTCCTGCCCCGCGGGGCCTCGGAGGGGCTCGTCCTGCGGCTCTGACATCAGAGCTGCTCTGGCCACGGAGGCTGTGCTGTGGCCCCATCCGAGCCCCTATCCTGGCACCCTGGGTCCCCTTCTCCACGGTTCTCTCCAGGGCAGGGAGCATCCGTCTGCACAGATGCCCGGCTGCCGGGACCGCTGGGCTGTGACTGCAGTGTCAGAGGGACATGAGCTAGTCAAGCCCAGGAGTGGGGAGTGACGGCTGGAGCAGGAAGGGGCCTGAGTCCCTGGGAGGGGCAAGTGGGAGGCCCAGGGTCCCCAGAGTCCGCAGAGCCTCAGGAGGAGGCTGGGGGAGGCCCAGCCTGAAGCCCACGTGTTTCCTGGCCGGAGGGAGGCGTGACTTCTCCGGAGCAGCCCGCCCCCACCCGGAATGGCTGAGCCCAGAATATGTCCACGCCTTGCTGGGGGCTGACCACTTTTATTAAACCCTCTCTCCTGCCTCGTGACTTCTCAGGGCTGGTCTCGCGGCCCAGGTGGGCGGTCGTCGGGGCTCCTCGCGTGCTGGTCGGCCAGGACCACAAAGCACTTGGGGAAGATGCCCGTGCGGCCATCATGGTGGCCCTCCAGCCACGCGTGGTCCACTGCAAGGAACCAGGTCAATGAGCCACGTCCCCTTACGGACCCGTGTGCCCCCGTGGGCCCGCAGGGTGACGGGGAGAGGGCACTGCCTGCCCGACCTGCACACAGGACATCCACAGTATCTCCCGGCTGCAAGTCCAGGTCCTCGGGTCCCTGGGCCGAGTAGCTGTGCTGGGCCACCACCTGGTAGAGGACAGGCCGGCCACCTACTGCCTGTGACAGAAGCGGCACTGCAGGGCCAGCAGGGCACCAGAGGGTCCTGGGCCTCCCCCAGAGCCGCCTGACCCAGCCCAGGCCCGTGCTCTCCGAGGCTCACCTGGCACCGGAGCTGCAGGCCCGTGGACTCAGAAGCCGCGTCCCGCCAGGCCCTCTGCAGCCCCTCCTCCTCTGGGAGGGGGACCCAGCGCCCCTTGTCACCTGGCTCCCGGTAACTGCAAAGAGACTCATCAGAGTGGGCAGCCAGGGGCTGTCAGCCTGCCCAGGGCAAGGGCTGTGGGGAGGGTGCTGACCTGGGACACCTGCAGCTCCTGATGGGTCCAGCTCCTCTTCCAGCTGAGGCCTGGGGTTCCCTCCCTGGGGCTCCCTCTCTGGGCTACCCTCCCTGGGGTGCCCTCCCTGGGCCTGGGGCTGAGAGGTGCCCAGCTGAGCCCACTGTCCTGCCCACCTGAGCTGCCCACACTGGGCCTGGTGAGGGAGGGCCTGGCTCAGCAGGGTCCTCAGGCTGGACAGGTCAGCTCCTTGTGGGGCCTTCAGGGCCAGGGTGAAGGCACACTGCACCATGATGGTCACCAAGGACTTGGAGTCCCCTGCAGCCACTCCCTGGGGTCAGGCAGAAAGACGGTGGTAGGATTTGGGCCTGAGGTGAGGGCAGGGACTGAGAGGGTGGGAGGGGCTGGGCTAAGGGACTGAAGGCTTCATCAGCCAGGGTCCCTGGGGCTATAAAGAGGGACAGGGCCTGGTCTTGGGGCCCCCACGACCCTGGGAGTAGGGACTTCTTACCCCAGCATCCACAGGATCCTCAGAGGGTTCAGGGTGTGGCCCCCCAGCTGCCAGCGGCCCTGCAGAGGGGGATGGAGTGGGGACTCAGGTGGGCACCCCCACAAAGGGGAACATTTTGGAGGACCTGCCAGATCACTGCCCACAGGGAGGCCCGAGGCCACCAGTTTCTTCCTCAGGGGTCAAAGAGGTTTCTCTTAGCCCCCCAGATGCCTACTTCCTCCGAGTGCCCCTCACCCACCACTCAGGACACCCTTACCTAGAGGAACCTGTTTGCCAGCTTGGTCCGTGTGGGGACTCTGCAAAAAAAGCCACAGGCTCTGCTGGGCCATGGTGGGGGCCGGGAGTGGGGCCT